TCAAGCTGGAGGCTTTTCTCGAATCACGCAGCTGTAGGGGCTGACGAGCTCAAGGCTGGCAGGCAATATACCGGGTGTTGATGCCAGTGAATGACGAATCCAAGATCTCCAGGCTGAATGGTGGATTGTTCGCTCACGGACATTTGTGGGCAGCACAACAGGGTCCCAATCCACAGAAGAGTGTGGATTTTCCCAGGATGTCCATAAATATATTGGAAGCAGGCCACACCCCTAGGGAAATGCCCTTTCAACAGATTGGCTGCTCAAAACATATACATCTGATCCTATCATGGGAATAACCCACATCACAACTGCTTAAACCACACAGAATTGTGCTCCAGCCAAGTTGAAACACAGCTCCAACTATCACACTTCTGTATCTGTATGTTTGCTAATAAAGCTAAAAAATGAGCTAAGTTGGACTGAAGCTATTAGTTTACCTGTCTTGAAAATTTCCATCCTTTGTTAACACTGTACGTACTCAGGATAGTCATTTCACCACTTATCTCTGTTCCCTTTATCAATATTCTGCCAACCATGGCTATATATAATCCATCCCATCCTTCCTGTGTTAACCTCTTGTTAACCAATCTCTTGTTAACAAAATGTTCTATTCTTTCCCTAAATGGAATAGCACTTGTTGGTAATCTCATTGTTGAGAGTTAATTGTGTCTATTTCTTTGCGTAATTGTTAATATTTATTTTATTTTATTTATTTATTTTTGGCCAATCTGATACATGAAAAGAGGAATCAAAATTTCTGTTGCAAGTTAAGTGTTCTAACATTTTTAAAGTACAGTTTGATAGGACATCTATCAAAATCCACATTCCTAAGAGATTCATTTAACCTTTGAGTAACAGTTCCACTCTGAGGGGTCTATCCAACAAAAATATTTGGACACATACCCAGAGCTGTAAGCACAGTCAATGAAATTGTAATACCAAAATGGAATAAAATCAACTGAAATGGCCATCAGTAAGCAAATATCTAATAAATTATTGTACATATTGTAGAAAACTATGCAACCAATACAATGAAAAGATTTCTGAGATACAATGCTGAGTGAATGGAGCCTGGTACAAAACATTTAAAAGAAAATACTGGTGGAGCGTGTTTGCATTTTTGTGTAGGCTTTTAAAGTACATAAGAATGTCTAGAAGAGTAAGTGCCAGATTCTTAATGGTGTTTAGAAAAGAAAATGAATTGAGGGTGGGACATAAAAAATAAATTCAATTTTTTTATTCTGTGTACTCTATTAGTTTAGTTGTCCAATAACCATATATAGCTTTTTTTCAGAAGTAAAACCTTGTGAGAAACATGGATGTTTCTGTCTAAACTCAATTCCCACTTTCATGCTAATTCCCCATGTTCTCTTTGCTGTTATTGGAGACAGTTTTTAGGCTGAAATGCATCCTTTATAAAACATTTTTTTTGAATCTTCAAATATGATTACAAGTTTGTATTTGTAGAAGACTCAGCATTTTAGTGTATTCAGACTCAGCATTTTAGTGTATTCTAAAACTATTGTTGTTAGTTTTGTTAGGTTTATTGTTGTTAGTTTTGTTATTATTTATTATTTATTATTGTTGTTAGTTTTGTTAGCTTTAGTGTATACAGACTCAGCATTTTAGTGTATTCTAAAACTATTGTTGTTAGTTTTGTTAGGTGCCATCGAGTTGGCTCTGACTCATAGCAACCCTGTGTCCAACAGAACAAAACACTGCCTGGTCCTGCATCAGCCTCACAGTGCTCGCTGTGCCTGAATCCACTGTTGCAGCCACTGTGTCAGTCCATCTTGTTGAGGGCCTTCCCCTTTTTTGTTGACCCCCCCACTTTACCAAGCATGATATCCTTCTCCACGGAATGGTCCCTTCTGACAACATGACCAAAGTAGGTCAAATGAAGTCTGGCTTCCAAGGAACATTCCGGTTCCCCTTCTTCCAGGACAGATTTGTTCTTTTGGGGGTCCATGGTACTTTCAGTATTCTTCACCAGCACCACAACTCAAAAGCATCAACTCTTCTTTGGTCTTCCTTTTTCATTGTCCAGCTCTCACACGCATATGAAACAACTGAACGTGCTATGGTTTGAGTTAGGCACACCTTAGTCTTCAAAGAGACATCTTTGCTCTTCATTGCTTTAAAGAGGTCTTTTGCAGCAGATTTGCCCAGTGCAATACATCATCTAATGTCTTGACTGCTGCTTCCATTGGTGTTGATTGTGGAACCAAGTAGTATGAAATCTTTGACAACTTCAATCTTTTCTCCATTTATTGGGATGCTACTTATTGGTCAAGTTGTGAGGATTTTCATTTTCTTTATGTTGAGGTGTAATCCAGACTGCAGAGTGTGGTCTTTAATCTTCATCAGTAAGTGCTTCAAGTCATCCTCACTTTCAGCAAGCAAAGTTGTGTCATCAGCATATCACAGATTATTAATGATTCTTCCTCCAATCCTGTTGCCATGTTCTTCTTCATATACTACAGTTCTCAGATTATTTGCTCAGCATACAGACTGAGTAAGTATGATGAAGGATACAACTCTGACACACTCCCTTTCTGGTTTTAAACCATGTAGTATCCCCTTGTTCTCCTTGAATGACAACCTCCTGGTCTCTGTACAGATTCCTCATGAGCACAGTTAAGTGTTCTGAAATTCCCATTCTTCTCAATGTTATCCATTATTTGTTATGATCCACACAATTGAAGGCTTTTGCATAGTCAATAAAACACAAGTAAACATCTTTCTGGCAGTTTTTGCTTTCAGTCAAGATCTGTCTGACATCAGCAGTGATATCCCTCATGCCACATCCTCTTCTGAATCCAGTTTGCATTTCTGAAAATTCTATGTCAGTGTACTACTGCAACCATTTTTCAATTATCTTCAGCAGGATTTTACTTGAGTGTGATATTAATGATACTGTTTGATAATTTCCACATTCTGTGAGATCACCTTTCTTTGGAATGGATACAAATAGGGACTTTTCCACGTAGTTGGCCAGGTAGCTGTCTTTCAAATTTCTTGGCACAGACAAGTGAGTGCCTCCTGCCCAGCATCTGTTTGTTGAAACATCTTAATGGGAATTCTGTTAATTCCTGGAGCTGCCTTCTTTGCCAATTCCTTCAGTGCAACTTCGACTTCTTCGTTCAGTACCATTGGTTCTTAATCATATGCCACCTCCTGAAATGGATGAACATCGACCAGTTCTTTTTGGCACAGTGACTCTGTGTATTCCTTCCATCTTCTATTGATGTTTCCCACATCATTCAATATATTGCCCATAGAATCTCAGTATTGTAACTCCAAGCTTGAATTTCTTCTTCAGTTCTAAAACTGTTTTTCCATAATTCTATCTTGATAACGTAAAGGTAGCATAGCTTTCTTCTTTGTTTAGTTTATAGTTGTACCTTTTAGTGTCTCTTCATGAAAAAGTGTCTGGGGAAGGAGGGGGGAAGGTTGCAGCTTTGAGAATACCTTTGTTTCTTTTGGGTTAGATCTCCCTCCTCGTGGTATAAATTTAGGTTGTTAAAGTGTTCATGTTTAATGTCTCAGAAAGATAACAGTTACTGAGTATTTACTTTTGCTAACTCCTGGGCCAAATGCTTCATGTGCCTTTTGTTATTTAGCCCTTATGACAGTCTTTGAAAATAGATTTAATAATCAATCTCTGTTTGACAAATGAGGAAGCAAATCTTAGCAAGGTTTAAAATTATAACAGATTTAGAATGATTAGAACCCATCTAAGTAGTGAATTGCACATTTGGGACTTGAACCTCAATTTGTCTCACTCAGAACCCCATGTTTTTAATCTCTATCCTGTATCATTTCCCAGAGCATTCCAGAGGCACAGCTCTCAGTGAAGTCTACAAAAACACTTGCTGTATTTTTCTCACTTTCTTATTTCTCTGCTTCTTATCACCTCCTTGTTTTCATAATTTTATGATGTAAATGGTCATGGAAGATGGAAAAAGCGCTCTTTAAGTGTTTATGTAAACCACAACCAAACGCACTGCCATGGAGTCAATTCGGACTCCTTGCCACCCTTTAGTACAGAGTAGAACTGCCCCCATAGGGTTTCTAAGGCTGTAAATCTTTATGGAAGCAGACTTGCTGACCTTTTGTTTAGCAGCTAAATGTTTTAACCACTGTGCCACCAGAGCTCCTCAGTCTTCCTCTAGCTTTGTATAAATTGGCCTCATAGCCCAGGTGGATGTCATTTGTACGTCTTGTCACCATTCTTCGTAATAACCATTGTGAGAAAGGACTCATCATTGGTTGGATCATTCATCATTTGTTTACATTCAAGATTTGATTTCATTGTATTCTTAACGGTTTCTAATACCATAATATCTGGAATGAGTGAGGTGATGTAAGAAGAAGTCTGTCTTGGAAGAAGCAGTCACAGTGCTCCTTAGAAGTGAGAATAGCCCTTGTACTTTGGTCATGTTATCAGAAAGGACCAGTCACTGGAGAAGGATATGCTTGGTAAAGTAGAGGGTCAGCAGAAAGGGGAAGACCCTCAACAAGTTAGATTCACGTGGTGGCTGCAACAATGAGTTTAAGCACAACAGTGATTGTGAGGATGTACAGAATCGAGCAGTGTTTCAGTCTATCGGACATAGGGTCACTGTTAGTCGGAACCAACTTGATGGTACCTAACAACAACAAGTAAAGGATGTTTCTGAATATAAATTCAGCTCATCTAAGGTAACAACATTTTGTAGCTACAAAATATAACTAGTTCACTAAACATCCTACAGGCTCATATGACTGTATGACTTTTTGATGATTCTGCGTAAAAATTCCATGAATTCTACAAATTGAGACTAAAGAAAACTTCCAACAAACACAAAATAAGAAAGTGTAAACACGCATACACCTGACAATTTGTTTTGATGCACAGGTAGTTTTGATAATAAAAAGTGTTTTGTGTTGGTTTTCCTTCCTATTGTTGACTAGATTTTACTTATAGTAATGAGTTTTCTTCTTTGTGTTCAAAGGGCAGCCATTCTACAAAAGTGGAAGCTGTGGTCAGAGCTCTGATGAGAATCCAGCTTAGAGATCCAGGGGCCAAAGCACTCGTTTTCTCAACGGTACAATCCGCACTTTCATCCTCACCGTTAACTTGGACCACTTCTCTGTCTATATTCATTTTATGAGTTTATGTGAGAAAACTTTCAGTGTTTACCATCATGTAGCTTAGATTTAGAATTACTGTTTGATTTTTACATATTACATACATAGGATAGATTATTTTTGGAGAAATTTGTGATACTTCATAAGGTGATCTTTATAAATACATTTCATGTTGTTAAATATTATTTAAGAATTTTGTTATTTTGTGAAGCCCTGTTAGTGCAGTGGTGAAAGCACTTGGCTGCTAACTGAAAGATTGTCTGTTTGAACCTGCCAGGTGCTTTGTGGGGAAAAAAGTGTAGCAATATGCTTCCATAGTGATTATGGCTGTGGAAACCCATAGGGCAGTTGTACTCTACCTGATAGGGTTGCTATGAATGGAGGTGACTTGATGGTAATGGGTTTCCTATTTTATATTTTAAACTTTGGGATCTATAATCTCAGAAGTCTCATTTCACAAGTAAATTTGGTTAAGAAAAAGAAAATTCACATGATCTCATAAATAAAGTAGTAAGGTAAAATTCTAATTTTCATTTTTGAAAGGTAAATAACCATACCTATTAAGTACCCAGTTCTTTATATTCTCTTATTTATGTCTATCATAATTAAGCTCTTAAAGAAACTCACATTATTTACTCTTCTGATCTTTAAGCCATCATTTGATGTGGGAGCTGGAGGGCACTAATACTTTCAAGATACCAAGGAAACTAAAACCAAACCTGCCATTAAGTCGATTCTGACACATAGCAACCCCCATTGGGTTTCCAAGGCTGTAAATCTTTACAGTGGCAAACTGTCTAATTCTTCCATGGAGCAATTGGTGGGTTCAAACCTTTAAACTTTTGGTTAGCAGTCAAATGCCTTAACCACTGCACCACCAGAACTCCTTACATAATATTGATAGTACTAGAATTGAGCAGTTTGTCTGTTTTGTTTATTTAATCCTGAAGTACAAAAATTATATTGATTTAGTCCCTTTTCAAATTCTGCTTATGAAAGCTATGTGTGGATATTAATTTTCTCATTGTTTTATGTGTTCTAGTGGCAAGATGTTTTGGACATCATTTCAAAAGCTCTCACTGACAACAACATGGAATTTGCACAAATCAGTCGTGTTAAGACATTTCAGGTATATCGAGAAGATTTAATTTGTGTTATTTGGTGTAGACTGAAACTTGTTAATTAACTAGCTTACATGTAGTTTTTGCCTTTTATTATACAAATGATGTAAGCAGGGTTTTAGTTCTAAATTGTTAAATTACAAAAGGAGCTTTTACAAGCAAAGTAGAGAAAGTGCTTATTTTTGTCTGTTCAGTTTTATCTATAGCAACACCAGTCTCTCTCTGTCTCTCTGTCTCTCCCCTTCTCCCCCACTCCTTTTAACCTTTTTACTTTTTTTCAATATATAAGATTTTCTGGTTTGAGGTCCTTTTCTTGAATCTAGGAAACAGTTCTTTATGACATACCTCTTGAATGGACCAAGGGCCTATGCCCCTTAGGAATTAGGTTCTAAATGTACTGCATCAGGTGATACTGCGTGAAGTCAGAATTTGGTTGAATTATTTGGTTTTTTGTTGGTTTTGTTCTCCCATCATGTACTTAGCACAGGGACAGGTGCATACTCCAAGAGGCACAAAGAAAAGAAGAGCAACTGAAAATTGAGCAGTGTCTCCTGTCTCACACTGCCTCATGCACGTTATTTCTCATTCTTTTTCCTTTAGTTCGTATAATTTAATTTGTATGTGTCTTAGGTGTTATCTTGTGATTCCACTATATGTTGTAAAGAACAAGAGAGCTTATGTGATACTTTTCCTTGTGATTAAAGTCAAGACACGTGTTCACATTTTCTAGAATTGGTAATTTTGCATTTAGTTTTCTGACCTGTTACTTTTTACAATAATACAGACCCCATCAAGCATATGTAAAGTAAGCTAAAATGTACTGCTCTTGTGTTTAAGTGCTCCAGCTAAAACTAAAATATACCTTTCTTTTTTTAGGAGAATCTGTCAGCATTTAAACATGATCCCCAAATCAATATTTTGCTGCTGCCCCTGCACACAGGTTCTAATGGACTAACTATCATTGAAGCAACTCATGTTCTCTTGGTGGAACCCATATTGAACCCTGCTCATGAGCTTCAGGCCATTGGGAGGGTGCACCGAATCGGACAAACAAAGTAAGAACTCAGATGAGCATCAGTCTTACTTACTTCAGGTTTCTGTTGTTGTTGTTAGGTGCCGTCAGGTTGTTGCTGACTCTTAGCAACCTGTGCACAGCAGAACAAAACCCTGCCCGGTCCTGTGCCCCCTCACGATCCCTGCTCTACCTGAGCCCTTCGTTGCAGCTACTGTGTCAGTCCATCTTGTTGAGGGCCTTCCCCTTTTTTGCTGACCCTCCACTTTACCGAGCATGATACCCTTCTCCAGGGAGTGGTTCCTCCTGACAACATGACCAAAGTAGATGAGGCAAAGGTTGGCCATTCTCGCTTCCAAGGAGCATTGCAGCTGTACTTCTTCTGGGATAGATTTGTTAGTTCTTTTAGCAGTGCATGGTACTCTTAGCATTCTTTTCCAAAATTTTTCAGATTCCTCAGGTACCAGATAAACAAACTCAGCCACTTAATGTTTATCATAGCCTATCACTTTTAATTATTTCCTTATTAAATGTTTTAAATTGATATTTTCAGCCCTCCTATCCCTAGGCAGCAAACCCCAAAATTCTCCCCAATTCTTATCTTCCTCCATCAAAACTTCCCTAATTGCTTCACCAAAAAGTCTTCCCTCCTTCTAACACTGTCATCATCAAATCATCAAATACCATCATCGTATCATCAAATACAGTTTGTTAGAAATATTTAAGATGGTTGCAAAATTAAAGGTTTCCATCATGATTTTAATACAAATTTAGTTTAGTCTAGAGTAGCCTATCCTAAAAGAAGGCATGGTTCCTGATTGTCCGAAGGCAAGTAGCTCCTTTTTAAGTTCTGAACCTTACGAAGAAACAAGCCCCTAGGTCCATTCGAAGAGAGAACTAACTTTTGTCTAGGGCTAACAGCAAACCTAGTATCAGAATGTTGAGGGTTATCTCAACATTCAGGCCTCCTAGATATATTACCTCCTAGACGTTAGATTGCTTGAATCCTTTGAAAAATGCTGCAGTACTAAGCATTCATTAAAAAGATATTTATTGAGCACTGTGTCAAGCACTATGCTAGATCCTGAAGATGCAAATTGAATAAAGCATAAATGTCATCCTGCAAGGAAGTTACTATGTAGTAGAGGAGACCGGTACCTAAAATACTGCAATAACTAACTAACTCATGACCATCGAGTCAGATCCAACTTATAGTGACCCTTTCTTGGGTTTCCAAGGTGGTATCACTATGGAAGTAGATTGCCCAACCTTCCTTCTGAGGAGTGGCTGGTGGGTTTGAACCTTCAGCCTTCTAGTTCACAGTCAAGTGCCTTAGGTACTATGTCACCAGAGCCCCTGTATAGTGTGCAAAAACACAGTAGTACAGTTACTGTGGTAGCAGAAAAGGAGAGTGATACTTGGTGTACCAGAGAGTCAGAGCAGGGTTCATTAGGTTGAGTCGTGATGCAATGATGATTTCAAAGTTGGAGAGCGAAGGTGGAGCTACATGTGCTAAAGTACATAGGTGACAAACAGTTACTTTTTTGGACGATAAGAAGTTTGCAGGAGCTCTGGTGGCGTAGTGCCTAAGGCATTTGGCTGCTAACCAGAAGGCTGGCAGTTCAAGCCCACCAGCCACTCCTCAGAAGGAAGATTGGGCAAGCTACTTCCATAGAGATACTGCCTCGGAAACCCAAGGAGGGGTCGCCATTAGTCGAATCGACTTGACGGCAGTGAGATTGGGGTTTGTTTTGTTTTGTTTTGTTTTTGGATTATAAGAAGTTTGGAATTGAGGGACTTTAAACTATGGGAAGATTGGCAGGAGGTGAATGCCTTGTATCCCATTCTTAGAAATTTGGACTGCTCTGTAAGCAGTAGGTGGGAGAGCAAATGAAGTGTTAATTTTAAGTATGACAGAGATATGTTCCTCAAACAAATCCTTAACAAAATATGGCAAAGTAATGTAATATGATAAATGCATGCTTGTTTTCAAGTGCTATCAGGTGTCATTTAAAATACAGTTATGCCTTATTTGGTTTTTTGTTGGTTTTGTTCTTTTTTAAGAAGCACTGACTTCTTGTCATGCCAATATTTTTGTAAAGCATAGACTGGACTCACCTCAGATTTATGACTGTAAGTCTTAAAGGGCCATTCAGAACTACCTGGCAGTCCTGTACACTTGCCTAATAAATAGGTTTTCCTTCTTTCTGTGGAGACTCTCTTAGGTCTGATCACCATATCCATCTCCCTTCATCAGGTCCACAATCTCATTCAATAAGTTTTTATGGAATACCTCCTGTGTGCCAGGCACTGTCCTAGATACTTGATAGGCCCTCACGGAGCTTATGTTCCGAGCTGTAAACAGGTTGGTGGAGAGGCAGATGGAAATAAACATAGTAAGTAAGATACACAGTATGTGAAGAGCTGGAAACAAGAGATCAGGGTGAGGAGGATTGAGAGTGCAGGAGGATGGACAGTAAGGCCTTATTGAGAAGAGAATCTGTGCACAAAGACTTAAAAGAGGTGAGAAAATTAGTCATGCAGATATCTTGGAGAAGAATGTTCAAGGAGACAGTATACCCAGTAAAAGGGCGTAAAGTCAGGAGTTTGTCTGGTATGTTTGAGGAATGGCAAGGAGATCAAAGTTGCTGATGTAGGATGAGCAAAGGGGACAAGAATAGGAAATGAAGTCAGTGAGTTTAGGGGAACCAGATTATAGAGGGCCTAGGAGGCTAAGGAGCCTGGCACAGTGGTGAAGCACTTGATTGCTAAACAAAAGGTTGTCAGTTCAAATCTACCAGCCAGTCTGTGGGAGCAAGATGTGGCAGTCTATTTCCATAAAAAATTTACAGTGTCAGAAATCCTATGAGGCAGTTCTGCTCTGTCCTATAGGATCACTGTGAGTCAGAATCAACTTGATGGTAACAAGGTTTGGTTTGGTTTGGTTTGGTTTGGTTTAGAGGCCACTGAGCGGATCTTATTTTTGCTTTGTTTGAGATTGGGAACCTTTAGAGGGCTGTGAGCAGAGAAGTGATGTGATATAACTTAAGTTTTGAAAGAATTATTCTGAGTCCTGTGTTAGGAGCTGGAGATGGGGGAACAATGGAAAGTAGAAGCAAGGAGGCAGATTAGGAGACTTTTGTAAAGACCCAGGGAAGCTCTGAAAGTGGTTTGTGCCACGGCGGCAGCAGTGGGAATGGTGAGAAGTGGTTGGGTTCTGGCTATATGTTTAATGTATCTGCAGTAGTATTTGTGGAAAGATAGGACATAGGGTGTACGGACAACTAGAAGAATAAACTGCCAGCAGAGATGTGGAAGACTGTAGGGTGGAGGTTTGGTGAGGGAAGAAATCAGTTTAGATCCAAGTTTGAAATGTTTATTAGACATCCAAGTAGAGAGTTTACTCTGTAGCTGGATCAACAAGTCCAGGGTTAAGGAGAGAAATCTGGCCTAGAGGTAGGCATTTGGAATCCAGCACATGTAATGGTATTATAAAGTCATAAGACCAAAGGAGGTTCCCTAGGGAGTAAGTTCAAATAGAGAAGAGGACCAAGGACCAAACTCCAGGGCACATCAAAGGTGAAAGGCTCTGGGAGAAGAAATGGAACTAACAGAGACAACAAGGAAAGATTAAAGAGTGAATTAAGAAAATCATAGGAGAGAGGTATCCTAGAAGCAAGGGAAAGAAACCAACTTGAGGAGGATGTGACCATTGTGTCCTGTGCCATACACCAGACAAGCACGGAGAGTTAACCATTCGAGTTAGCAGCGTGGAGATCAAAGCCACTTTCTGTGGAATAGTGGAGGTGACAGCCTGATTGGAGTGTAAGAGAGAATGGGATTTCATGTATTTATTTATCCCTTAACCAACACTTACATAACAAAGACAGGTTAAGTAACTTGTCCAAGGCACACAGCTTTTAAAAGGAGGTAGCAGGTTTTAAACACAGACATTTTCTCTCACAGTCCATAAGCACAGCACACTGCTGTTTCCATATAAGGACAGCTACTTGGAGGAATTGCGATAGAGAGGAACATGGAAAAGAGAGACAGTGCTATCAAGAGAGGTCTTTTTTTTATCCACACAGTAGCTGAAGGTATTTCTAAAGTAATAACGAAGAATAAGTTAGGTCATGTATAAAGCCCACTGATGGCTTCTCACGATGACCATATTAAATTCCAGATTCCTGGTCATGTCCTACAACACCCCACATGACCTGGCCCTTGCCCACCTCTCAATCACATTTCGCCTCCCTACCCCTCATTTACAGTATGCCTCTGCCATACTAAGTTCCTTTCTGCCCCTTGGACATTTTCAGCTTATCTCGAATGGGTTCTTTTCCCAGGGGCTTTGTATTCACTTGCTGTTTCTTCTCTTTGGATGCTCTTCCCACTTTTCCCACTTCTTTCCTTAGCAGCCTCATTCCCATCATTCATGTCTCCACTCATAAGGCCTCCTCCTCAGGGCACTCATTGTACCCAAGGCTGTTTTATTTGTGCATGTGTGTATGGTCTGTCTCATTAGAACATTCATGGAGATCCAGTTCTATGTGCCATTCACTGCTGATCCCCCCTGGCTTAGTACCTGCCATGAGTGGGCACCAACTGACTGATGAGTCTAGCATGTAATATGTGAAGTCTTTGTAACTAATTTGGTTTAAGATGTTTGTCAACTTACAATTGTTATGTGCCTTCTAGACCTACTATTGTACACAGATTCTTAATTAAAGCAACAATAGAAGAGAGAATGCAAGCCATGCTGAAAACTGCTGGGAGGAGGTAGGTATGGAAAACGGTTTCCTGTTTATGGGCTGCGTGTGTTTAGAACATCTTCACTTACATGACTGCTTAGGACCAAAACCTAACTCACTGCCATCGAGTCAATTCCGAGTCATAATGACCCCCACTGGGTTTCTGAGGCTATAAATCTTTAAGGAAGTAGATTGCCCTGTCTTCCTTCTGCAGAGCAGCTGGTGGGTTTGAGCTGCTAACCTGGTTAGCAGCCAGATGCTTTATGCACTAGACCACCAGAGCTCCAAAATATAAAAGCACAAATACCTTTGAAAAGCAAGGTATGAACTTTTACCTAGTCAGTTACATTCTTGTTTCCCAGTTAATTCTAAATTTGACATAAGTTAGGTTTGGTTTGTTTGTTGTTGTTATTTTTTTAAAATAGATTTTAGTATGTAAATATATTTAAACTATCTTTCATGTCTTTGCCCCCTTGGATTAAGTTTGAAATGAAGTTAGGACTACACGTACCCCGAAAGCCTTATTCTGTTACGTTTGAAACAAAACTTGTATTTTTGTTTCATGAATCACTCTTGTTAGTCACATGCAGAGAGGAAGATCAGGACTTAAAACTTGGCAGGTAACTGTCTTAATTTCAAAGACAGAACAGAAACAGAGAGGCCACAACAGCCTGAACAACAGTCTTAATTTAACAGACTTGACTTTAGAATCATAAACTTCCTAGTATTTATGTTATTCATATATATTTTTTAAACCTTTGTAAACCAGTGAGTCATTCATTACCTCCTCGTGAGCTTGGTATGATTAGAAGACATTATTGCTTTGGAAGGGATCATAGCAGAAAACAACTGGAAACTCTTTTCTTCCAGGGGTGAAAGGAAGGGAGGGTATCATATGGACTTTTTGCCTCAAGTATGAAGGCTTTTAGTTGATATTTCTGTATGTAACAGACCTCAGTGATTTTAAGCTCCTTAAATAGTAATTTGAAGAGCTGTTGAAAATCTCTTGGAAAGTAATCTCTTGGGAGCATTAATAGCAGCAGTTGGCAGAAGTTTGTTTCTTTGTTTTGTTAATTATGCAGGGGGAAAAAAAAAAATTATAGCCAAGCTTGCAAATGATGTATAGAAGACTTCACCAAACTTAATGAAATGTAATAATAATGGTCTCTTCACTTCCTTCCCTCTGGAAATGCCTTGTGATCTAGTTACCAAAACTTAGGAACAAGTATGTGTCTAGACTTACATTATTACAAACATACTAATTTATACCTGGGGTTTCTTTCTGATGCTGGGCACCTGGGAAAACCCTGCAGTCACACGAGCTCATCAGCGAAGCACTCAGAAGCCTCCGTCCTGACCGTGGCTGACCTGGCAGACCTGTTCACCAAAGAAACTGAAGACATTGAGTGAAGTACACTTGATTCGATCCAGATTTAACATATTCATACACTTCCATGGCGTGTAGAGCAGTTTAAGTAAAAAAATGCCAGTAAATGTCAGTAAACACTGTTGTTGAGTGGATTTGTTCCTTTCTGACTATACAGTGTCCTAGGAGTTCTTGAATCTTTTTCAATATGTAGCTTCCAAAAGATCTTTTAAGAGTTTTAATTTTTCACATCTCTAATAGAACACTTATTTTTGTTCCAAAGAATATCTTTATCTGATGAAGTGAGGGACTGAAGGGAGGTAATGTGTTCTTTTGAGAAGACCAGTCCTATAGGGTTGGAATAAGAGAGAAAGTAAACTAATCTAGTTTTATATGACCTGGTATATAGGCCCATTTTAGTAAGGGCCTTCACTGTCCTTAGAGTATAATTCACCAATATCTTGTATGTTGTAAGTAGAGGGTGAATTATTTTAACTCCTAGTTATTTGAGTAGGTTTAGCCTATACCCCCATGAATAGTAACTTTACAGTAATACAACTCCTAACAGTACAGAAATGTTAGGAAAGTATTTCTTCTCTGTGTATCTTGCTACTGAAAATCTAAATATTGAAAACTTTTCATATTTTCGTTATGTGTTAAATTACACCAGTGTAAGCCCTTACCTCTAGAGAGCATTTTTAAGTGTTAGCATTTTAAGTATAATTTTATCTTAAAATTACCTAAACTGCTATCTCTACAGGTAGTCCCAGGTTACGAATGAGATCAATTCTTAGGGTGTCTGTAGGTCAGATCTGTAGCTAAGTCAAAACAGGTGCATATAGTTCTTACTCGGCTTTACTTTAGTGCAAGAACTAAAGCACTCTGGTGGGACAGTGGTTAAAGCATTCAGCTGCGAACCCAAAGGTCAGTGGCCTGAACCTGCCAGCTGCTCCACAGAACAAAGATGAAAGATGAGGCAGTAAAGGTTTGCAGCCCTGAAAACCCTGTGGCACAGTTGTATTCTGTCCGGTAGGGTAGCTGTGAGTCAGAATCTACTTAATGGCAGTGGGTTTCGATTGTCTTAGTGCCAGGAAACGCTTGAAGTCTTTTCTGTGATTTAAAACTGTACTACCGCAAGTGAAGGTGATTGTGAAGATTGCATTGTGAGCAGAGGTTAGGTCAGTTGTTTCAAAGTGAAGGCAAATTTATGTAACATTAAAGGGCGAGTAGGAGCTGTCCATAAATTGGACGTTTGTAACCAGAGGACTATTGTACTTTTAATTTTTCTTAAGTTTTTACATGTTTAAGGTTGATATATCTGTAAATTATGTAAATGTTTACGATTTTCCATCTTGTCAACATAACAGGGAAATATGGCAGGGTTTTTTATTGTTATACTGATGTCTTTCCTTTACCATGTTCCGGTGTAGCTGTACTTTTCAACCACTCATGTTTAAATTTATGATAGGGTATCATTTATTCCAGGTGTACTTCCCTTAGGAACTACTCTTTGAAACAAGAGAATGTCATGGTCACATAAGCAAATAATTACCAGTGATAGTAACAGAGTATTTCTTCTTCTTCTGTGAAGAATTAATGGACTTTGAAATCACTAAATAAGGAGTAGCATGTTGTATCTTAGCCATTTAATGTAATCCACATGTCCTTTGTGTTGTTTTCATTGAGCCTTCAGAGTTTTAATTGGCCCTCAGGACACATTACCTCCCACACAGCTGCCCAGAAAACTGTAATAGAAATACGCCCTGGATCATATCTGTCCGAGAGCCTGTGGTGCTTAGTAAAGGTGCATTTTCTTATTCTAGGTGTGTAGGGTGACATCATTCAGCTGAAGAAAACACGGACACATTTTTGGTGCTTATTCTTCAGGTTAAGGGTGATATGCATTGGTTCTTTTATATGAAATTAAATGTAACTATTCTTTTTGTAGCTCTTTACATGTTATAAAGAGCTTTCCTGTACATTCATATGTTTAATTTTCCCAAGAGTCCTGGGAAGTTGATATAACTAATGTCATTCCTATTTTACAGATCAAGAAACTGAGGTTCATAAATATTGAGGAAGTTGCAAGTAAACATTGGAGCCCAGGTTTCCTGACTCCCAATCTTATGTTGTTTTACTAAATCACATGTCATGCTGACATTAAGAAGGCCATTGGTTATAATTTAATGATGAGATGATTTAGCATTTTTGTTTTATTTCCTGATACTCCTTTCTAAACTAAAATTTTAGGGAAAATTATTTGATATGCTTGAATTTTGTAAAAAAAAGAAAATAGAAACACACTTGTATTAGAAAAAAACTTATTTATTTCTGTAAGATATTATCAATTAAATAAATATTTTAGTGGAAATTGAAACGTGAGGATTTATTTAATTTCTGAGCCATGGAACATATGGCTTTCCTGTATGTGTCTAAACAAAAGATGTCAAAATTGCTTATACTTTTGACTCCTGTCTTTCATATACATCTGTTACTTTTTGCAAGGAGTCCTGGTGGCACAGAGGTTACAACGCTCAGCTGCCAACCAGAAGGTCAGCAGTTCAGACCCACCAGCCACTCTGCAGGAGAAAGATGTGGCATTCCATTCCCATAATGACTACAGCCTTGGAAACCCTAACTGCCCAAGGTAGAGCGGTTATTCTCTGTCTTGCAAGGTCAGTATGAGTCAGAATCAACTCAGGAGAGTAGGTTTTTGGTTATTTCTTCAAAACAATTACTCAGAACAAAGACCTAGCTAATCCTCACAGCTTCTTGGCTGCAAACAAAGGACTTTTTTGTTTCCTTCCCCCACCATTTTAGATTATCAGAAATGTTACTGTGCTTATAAATAGCTACCCAGTAACATAAATTGATGCTGTACTAATCCACCAGTGAGCAAAGATGAAATCACCCCAATTCGTAGAAGAATTTCAGAGCTTTTGGATCCGGGGAACCATTCTCTGTTCAGTGACTCCAAATGAGCTTAGTAGAACTGAAAAGATTATTTGTATAGAATGTAAAATACATAATACCTGACTCCGCAGTCTTTCTCTTCAAACCCAATTAGCTTTGTTGTATTATTGCAGCTTTAACTTTTCTCTTTGTATGTGATCATCAAAAAGATCCATGGATTTAATTTAGAGATTGGCCCCTTTCATATCACATTAATAACAACAATCTAAAAACTATTAACATTATTGTTCAACATAAAATTACAAGTAGTTAGCAAATAATGATCAAACCTAACTGATTGTCAGAATGTTTAGGAATTGAGTTTAACAGTGCAAGATTATTCATCAACTCAAGTGTCACGAACAGATGAACAAAGGGAGAAATGATGGCTTCTACATCTTTTCCTGCCCTCTTTTACTAGTTCTCCCAAAATGCATGTGCTTGACTTTCTTACAGTTATTAAACTACAGGACAGCCTTTCAGAAATACAAAAATCATCTGTACTAAGTTATCTCAGTCTTGGTTAAATTGAATAAAAGAAAACCTTCAAGTTCTCTAGAATTTAGCTAACAAAACCCCACAATACTACACCATCCATAATTATCAACAATATGAAAATGAAATGTCATCAGAACAGGCAGTTCAAGTAATGCATTTTTAAGCTTGCCTACTCTGATCATCTAATTATCAGTAATATTTCTTCACAGTAGGATCAGTTAGCCACGTATTTTATAAAATTCTCTGTTTAGGAGAATCTCCATGTACCTCTGTTAGCAGTGACGTTCACATGAATGCATGTCGCATGTAGGTTCAATATGAGCCACCTGCAAGCCTGCCTTTACCTGAAGGCTCTGTGTGTGATCGATAACCCCAAGGAGAACTCACATCTCACAGTTGGTGTGTGCTGTTGCCTCTGAGTTATGGAATAGATAGTATCAACTCCAGAAAATAGCCTAAGAACTGAATCTGAGAACTCGGCATGGACCAAAATTGCCATCTGCAGTCTTCCTCTGCTTTCAGGCAGCCATTCAGGGCATGTGCGTCTTATGTTTGAAGAGTGAAGATCTCACTGTGACTTGGTATCCTCTTCCATTGTTGAACAGTAGTCATTTTCAACAAGTTCTTTGTTATATTGAAACACAGTCCTCCTGCTGCAGCTTACATTTTTTTCTCTGCAAAATGGAAATCAAATTTGAATAGTCTCCCTTATCTGTGTGATGCTCTTTTATACAGGTGTGTACTGTGAACACATTGTTCACTAACTTTTTCTTCTGGCCTGTCAAATAATCCATCTCTTCAGCCTTTTCTCAAAGGTCTTCCTCTCCAAACCCCTTCATTATCTTTGTCTCCGTAATAAACCCGTTTTTAATGTTCAACACCCCTCATAACACCTATTGGAGGAAAAATGTCCAAGGATGCATTTTTGATACATGAGATCTTTCCAGATCTGTTGTTCATACGCCAGCACAGGTCTGATCACGAACACATACCCTTCAGTGCCTTAAGGAGCAAACGTCTGTCCCCGAGTTTCCTTAAAAATTTAGTTTCTCCTCACTGTATCAGTAATTTATTTAGGGTACATCTGCTGACATTACCTGGTTTATTTTCTTTCAAGACCGTTTAGGGTATATTTTACTACATCCTTAAATAAAACCTGCAAGGTCACTCTACCCCTTCTGTTGACTCAGCTTTCCACAATCAAGCCAGTGCTAATCCAGTTCATTTGTCAGACCCTGCCTAACAAATTCCATTAACCAGGCTGAGAACATAGTTGCTTGTTGATAATGATGAATGTATCTTATTTTGACCTTCACAGAATGATGTCTTCCTTGCTTAATGTAAATCTGTGTTTTAAAAGGGAATGTATTTTAATATCTGTTCTTGCTTTATTGTAACAGAATGTTTCTAAAAATGATTATTAAACTATTAAAGCATTAAATCTTCATCAATCTTTTCACTTTTAAGCCTTTAATTTATAATTTCTGCTTATATTCGTTGTTGTTGATTTCCACCTCCTAGCTGCCCTGTGTGACAGAGGAGAACGGTCCCATGGGGCTTTCTAAGTAGCAGTCTTTCTGGAAGCAGATCATCA